TTCATCTTTTTTTAGCTAGCTCAATTTTCTATCTACCTATATTTTTTTGTGAATTTCTCTTTTTTTTTTTTTTTTTTTTTTTTTTTTTTTTTTTAGGTAGAATCTGGCTCTGTCACCTAGACTGGAGAGCAGTGGTGGGATCTCAGCACACTGCAACCTCCGCCTCCTGGGTTCAAGCAATTCTTGTGCCTCAACCTCTCAGGCAGCTGGGACTACAGGCATGCGCCACCACACCCAGCTAATTTTTATATTTTTAGTAGAGACGAGGTTTCATCATGTTGGCCAGAATGGTCTCAATCTCTTGACCTCGTGATCCACCTGCCTTGGCCTCCCAAAGTGCTGGGATTACAGGCATGCGCCACCACACACAGGAGTCTTGAGTTTTGGAAATGACTGGGCTCCTGGGAGGAGAACAGACTTTAGAGGAAGTGAGATCAGGATCCTGGAGACCAGGAAGCAGCTGCTGGAATGCTGCATGCAGGAAAAATAGTTATGTGAATCCCAGGACAGCAGCCTGGACCGGGAGGAAGGAGCTGAGTCCTAGGTATATTTCAAAGGTCCAGCCAGCAGGATTCCATGTGACTTCTTCGTTTCTACCCGGCTTTGGGGGACCTCAGAAGAGGTCACTGAGGAAGTGAGGTCACCAGAGGCTCATGGGGACCCCACTTGAAAACATCTGTCATCCCAGCCTCTTCTGCTAGCCCCAGGAATGACCCCGAGGTTCCCTGAGACTACTGTTTGGGGAGAGAATGAATGCAGGGCTGCTCCTTCTGCAGACACCACCTCCTGCTTCCCCAGTTGTCTTTCTCTTCTTTTTTTTTTTTTTTTTTTTTTTTTGCAGTCTCGCTCTGTCGCCCAGGCGGGAGTGCAGTGGCGCAATCTCGGCTCACTGCAACTTCTGCCTCATGGGTTCAAGTGATTTTCCTGCCTCAGCCTCCGGAGTGGCTAGGACTACAGGCCTGTGCGACCACGCCCGGCTAATTTTTGTATTTTTACTACAGCCTCCGCCTCTTGGGCTCAAGCAATCTCCTGCCTCAGCCTTTCGATGGCTGGGGTTACAGCGTGCACCACCACACCCGGCTAGCCGGCTAATATTTGTATTTTTAGTAGAGACGGAGTTTCACCATGTTGGCCAGGCTGTTCTCGATGATCCGCCCACCTCGGCCTCCCAAAGTGCTGGGATTACAGGCGTGAGCCACCGCCCCCTGCCCCAGTTGTCTTTCTGTTACACGCATCCATGCTGCTTGGAAGGGCTGCCTACTGTAGTCCCACAACACACACGTGTGCGTGTACACACATACAGCCCCAGAGAGTCCTAGGGGAGCTGGAAGGAGGGGACAGGTGGGCGCACTGGTCACAGGCCTGAAAGTAACTGCGCGCTCTTCTCGCCCGCAGCCGCAGGTGGCTGCAATGGGACGGAAGCCATGAATGGTGCCGCCCCCG